TATTTTATTATAAAGATCAAATCCTATGATTTTTTTTTAAACCACAAGGGGTGGTGGCCAAGTGGGGGGGCAATGAGGTGGATATTAATTCCCCATCCCCATTCCCCTATAATAAATTTTCCCCATTCCCTATTCCCCATGGGTACCACCCTCCCCATTATTTAATGGGTATGGATTTTCCCCTACCCACTAAAAAAAAAAAACATATGGGGAAATTAGTGGGTACCCATCCCCAACTCATCCCCTGTGGATATTTAAAGAATATCACTTACCCTACCCAATGTATAAGAGAAAGAGGGGAAAATCCATGTATTTGGGTTGAGTCTCCATGGATACCCACAGGGTAGGTTATCCATTGCCATCCCTAACAAGGGGCGGTGGCCAAGTGGATAACACACTGGCCTTTCCCAATGGAAGAGCATGGCTCGAATCTTGGGAGCACAAAATAACTTCGGTTGACTGTACTGTACTCTGATTGAGACTCTGTCTCTTTTTGTGGCGGGTGAGTGAGGTCCATTGTATGCCCTGGTGGTGGGTTCCTTTCTTTGGGTTGGATTAAATCTTGTCAGCAACTGATTATTCCGGGCTTAGGGCCCACGGATGCTATGATATCTTATAGAACGTTATTTTTTTGTTTAAAAAAAAAAATCATTTTCAAAATGTGATTGACATATTATTTTAAATGTGGTCCATTGAAGACGATGGATGATTTGGGTAATAATGTAGAAAAACTTTCAAGGATGACAATTGGGCAGAATGGAGATAAATATTTAGCGTTTAATCCCAGTTTTGAATTTTACCGGGACGTAGCAAAGCAGACTAGTAAGAACAAGTTCATTTTTTAATTTTAAAAATGAATAATGGATGTATTAAAATTGGAGCGTGTCATCCCAGTAACTCAACATTAGGTTGGAAAAAAAAATAAAAAATAAAAAAATTTGCAAGTCGATTTAACCTAGACGAGATTTCATAATTTGATTTAGTTTTTTCAATTTCTGATTCAGTCTTGATTTTTAAAATAAGAGAATTGTACTTTAGAGTTGGGTCCATGATTTTATAGTTATGATTTTGATTTGAAAATGAATTGGATCGTAAACACTTGAATACCTTATTAGTTTCTCTTATTTTATTTTATTTTATTTTTTTTAAGAATATTTCCAATCCAGGCCAGCCTAATTGGACCCGAGTTACTTTTGTACTTGGACTATCGTGAACTAAATGCTAAAGTTAGCCGGACAAACCTTCAATGGCTACTTGAGGAATTCCAACTTGAAACCTTAGATCAAGATTGAAAAACCTCCAATGTGTTATTATATAATGATAGAACTAATTTTAAACAATTATTGTTTGTAAAACGCGGACATAGTATATTTGATGTTCAAGAATGTCGTAATCATATTGTGAACGATGACGAGATTTATATAAAAATTGCAATTTCAAAACAAATTAAACTACATTTTCATAATTAATTTAGTTTGATTACAAAATTCACCTTGTTTGGTTCTAATTTTTGAAAATTAAGTTTTATTTATTTTTATTTTTTGTGTTTTTTTGTTTTTAGTAAAATTTTAAATATTTTAAGCAAATTTGTTTATTTTTTAGATGCATCTGACCTAAATGTACTTAAAAATAAAATATTTAAAAATATCAATAAATACACAAAAATACAAAAATGTATTAAATTTTTTATATTTTTTTAGGGTAAATTACAAATACATCTCCTGAGATTTGATTAAAATACGAATCACCTCATGTGATTTTGAAAATTATATTTCACCTCCCGAGGTTTCTAATTTCATAACAAATCGTCATTTTTATTAATAAATCATCAAATCAATTAATATTTTTTAATGATATTAGAAATATGTTTCAATTAATAATTTAGGTAATTTTATTATTGTATAGGGAATTTCATTTTTTTTAGTTATTTTCTATTAAATAAAAAAAAAACTAACAAGAAGGTATTTGTAATTTTTCAAATCACAGGGGTAATCTGTACTTTAAGCAAACCTCAAGGGGTGTATTTGTAATTTACCTTTTTTATATATATATATTTTTGATATTTAATGAATTTTTTAAAAAGTTTTTTTTTAACAAATATTATACCTTTCAATTGTATTTATATTAAGTATATCTTAAAAGTAAAAAAATTACTTAAAATATTAAAAAAATTAATAAAAATAAAAAATATGAAAAATAAAATATCCCTTGACTCAATTCTTCTCTTAATAATAAATAACCCTTGAGCTCTATCAAAGACCATTGTATACAAATTTTATTGTCTTTCATACCCTTTTCATGAGAGATTAGAAGACAAAAAATAGTATGAATTATATTAAGGAAAAAACCTCATACCCCCACTAGGGGTGACCCCCAAGGCCCTCAGTGGAGTGTGATTGGTCCATTTTTTTTTTCTATTGATCCAATGACCAACTCCCACGTGTGTGTGGGGGTGGTGGGGGTGAGAGTTTTGAGGGAGTCTTAATCAATCCTCTATAATTAAAGGGTAAATTATACTTATCGTACCTCTTTGAAGTTTGAAAAAAAATATAATTAGTTTTATATTTTTGATATAATTACATTTATACTTTTTATAATATAAATAAAGTGATTGAAACTAATGCTAATGGTAAGTAAATATCAAAATAAATAAAAATAAATATATATTTTAGTAAGAAAGAGATGAACATGGTTTTTATTCTTCACACGACTAAGTAACGAATTATTGATGGAAAAAAATTTAAGTGTTATATAAATTAAAATGTTGAGAGAAGTTAGTGTAATTGTGTGAAAAATATAGAGCTAACTGTATTTTCTTCTTACCTATTTATAAATAGAGATGGTGTAGCTGCTATGTGGGAGACGTAACAGTCCTTGTTATTCGGTCATTGGGGCTTATTTCGGAACTCATTTTAATGATTTAAATTATTCATTTTTTAAGATATATCGAATAGAATATACTTATAAAAAATTAAATTGATCAAATATTAATGGTTATATAATTAAATCACATTTATCTTAAAAAATTAAACACTACGTATGATTTCAAGAATAGACTTTTCATTTTTTAAAAGATAAATATATATTTGATATATCCCCACAATAACTATTGATAATCATATCGACAATTTACTTGACTGACACTAAAAAATAAATAATTTAAATTAACAAAATGAGATCCCAATCATCCAAGGCCTATGAACTGGATCCTGGAGGAGGGCAACTTCTTTATTTAAAACACCTCAATTATTCAAATGAGTGGACCACCACACCATAATGGGCATCTGACCTATAATATAAAAAAATATATAAAAAAAATATTTTGGTTTATGAGTATTGAGACAGTTGTTCGTATAGACCCTTCACCACTTCAATCTTAGATCCATGTCCTCATGTTTCCTACTCTTTTTAGTCTAAGTAGCTAATTACGGGTCGGGGTTATTACAGTAAGACTAGAAATGTAAAACTGAAATAAGTATAATAAGACTGGTTTTTTGGATCTAAGTTTGTGGGCTTTTTCTGGGCTCTTCTCAGCTATTAAAATGAGAGAAGACTTCAGTTTGGGTAAAGATGAAACTCTTAGAGAGTTTATCCTAATCCTACTGGAAGTCCAAGATTAGCAGTAATCCTAAGTCCATTAGAGCTAGGCTTCTATTGGGATTAGGATTGAGTTTGCTATAAAAGAGAGGCACCATGGGTCTAAGGTATACTTTTGATATTCTGTCTAGTGAGTTAAACACTATTGGTTATCTTTGAGAGATATTGAGTACTGACTTGATCGTTGGAGTACCCTGGGTGGACGAGCTACCGCCGGAAACTCTTTTTTCTGTTGCAGGTGGTCGTTCGGGTTTAACCTATTCTGCTGGTGTTCTCCAGTCGAGTACTAAGTTGGGCTGTGTGATTGGAAAATCACACACACAATTTATTATATAATCTAAATAAAAATAAACGAGGTGAGTTTATGCGAGTTCGAGCTTGAGCTCGACTCGTTTACTAAATGAGTCTAATATTCGAGCTCGAGTTCAACCCGTTTATTACATGAATCGAGTTGAATCAAACCTTTAACAAATCAAATCAAACTTATTTATGAACAGTTTAATTCATTTACCATCCTAATTACACTACCTTATCCTAACTAATCATCATTGCAGTTCATGCATCCAATGGTCAAACCGAATCAAACAACTCAGCCACAACAGATCCCACAGTCCAAACGAATAGAATCCAATTTTTTAAAATTTTTTTTTAGTGAGTGAACAATATACATATATTTTAATTAGTGTAAAATAATAAAATTTATCACTTTGAATAGAGTCAATATATAATAATGTTTATAGAATTAGCATTGTTACATGTATAAAATTTTTGCACATAAAAATTCTCCAAGAGAATAGGTCCCATATGGATTTCACATGTGGGTCTCACTCTCATATGACAACTTCTATTTACAAAAATTTATATAAATAATATTTGCCGAAGGATGATATTAAAATAAATTAAAAAAATTAGAAGTTAACTATACTCATTTATAATTAAAAAGAGAAAATAGATAAAGTATAACTTGTGTTAAATAAAATCCATTACATGAGAAACGTGATCCACCAAATGATCTCAACCATTCATAAAAGAATAAAGGTATACTGCGTCAATAGATATATCAATTAGTATAATGGATGTGATTTTTAATTTTATATTGGGTTTAGTTGGAAAATTTGGAAAATAATTTGGAAACTAAAAGGAGAAAAATAGGTAAAATATATATAAAATGTACCTATATTTTACCTAATTTTATATCCTTTTTCTTTTCTTTCTTTTTTTTTTTTTCCAAATTCTTTCATAAAATGTTCAACTAAACACAATATTAAAGGCACAATATTATAATATATATTGATACATTAATGGTTCATAAAATGTGAAGTGAACAAAAATAACCAAATTACAATAGTGTATAGTGCTGAGTCGTTAAAGCTTCAAAAAAGGAAAGACAGAGTAGACTTTGGCTCCTCATATCGTGAATGCCTTGTCCCCACTACTGCATCTCTTCTTCTCCTTCCTCAATCATCCATTTCCCTCTCAACTCTCTCGCTTTCTTTCTACTACATGGTCTTTGGACTTTCTGGCTTTCTCGTCCTCAAATGTGCCCCCAAAACTGTAGTTGTCATTTTTCTCTTGCTTTATTAGTCAAAATCACAATACCCCAAACTACTTTAGTCTCTTTCAAAGGAATGGGTCTCATCTATTTATGTCTGCTTTTGGCCATCTTCACCAAATGGGTTTAATCAATTTTGAATGGGGAGTAGTGATTCTCTCTCTAGTTAACAGCTTCAGGTTAGTCTTTTGTATTCATTTGCTCAAATGGGTCTTGGTCCTCTGTTTGCTTGCTCAGTAAATCACTCAAAAGATGGGATTTTGAATCTTCCATCACTTGTATACATTCTTGATCCTGAGATTATCATAACATTGTGTGATTTAGAGTTAGTTACATTTATTTTTATTTATTTGTTCTCTCCTTTAGAATTCTTGGCAAGTTCCAAATGGGGGATTTTATGAAATGCACATCTTTTGATGCTTATATGTGAATTCTGTCAGTGTGTTGGTGAAGATTTAGACAAATGTGACTTTTGAAAATTCAGTGTTTAGTTTATTAAAATCATTAATTATTATTTTGTTCTTTGGGTTTGTTGCAGATGTTTATGGACTAACAATTCTTTCTCTCTCTTTGCAATTTGTATTTCTTTTCTTGTTTTTGTTTTTGTTTTTTTCAGTTTAGTTCAATACCTGTTTTTCAGTATGAATTGGGATTCTATCTTAGTTCAAACTAGTACTTACTGTTTCTCTCTCACACAGTGCCACAAATTTCCTGCTGTAATTATCAGCATTGTTGATTAGGTTTTCAATTTTATTTTTCTCAGTGCTGAAATGAGTTTTTCTGTTCTGGAGTAAAAAAATGAATCGCAGCATAGCATTTTACAGATAATCAGAATTTGAATATCATTTAACTTGTTTTTGTTCTTTTTCTTATCCTTCAATTTAATTTTGGTTGGGTTTTAGGGTTGGTCACAATTATTTTTACTGGATAGAGACTGCTTGATACAGTTTTTTTCTTCAAGGAGACAATGATTTCCTCCTTTTCGCTGCCCATCCCTCGACAACCAGCAAATTATGATGAGGTTTCTATGCAGCAAAGCATGCTTTTCTCTGATAGTCTCAAGGTAATCTCTTGCTTATGTCCTTGATTTCCCCATTTGTTGCTTTTGTTTTCAGATCAGTAACTTTTTTCCTCCATTCTTCCCCAACTCCATCGGAAGTTGGAACTTTTTCGAGCAACTATACTAAGCCTTGTATCCCAATCAGGTGGGAAACTTTTTTCCTCGAGTGATTTTACAATATTCCCAAGCATTACGGATCTTTAGAAGCAAATTCACCTCAATGTGATCCAAAATGAGAATTTCAGCTTTGGAGTTTAGGACATAAGTTTTTAGAAAGAGCGGGCATTTTTGTGGGTCAAATTTTTAGTATGCTTTGTCTATGTTGTTGTGAGACCATGAAATCCGCTCACATAGATTGATGAAGAGCTTCAACAAAGAGATGAATTCCGCCCCACAAATCTGCAAAACAAGCAACCATTAAAGTTATCCGACCGGTGAATTCCAGCAGGAGAGCTGTCCAATGATGAAGTTAGACCAAACTTTTCTGAGAGAAACAGAGAACTCAATAGTGTGTGAAGAAACTTTTACATTCATCTTGTTCGTTCACTTTATGTTCTGATCTCTCTCAATCTTTCTTACAATTAATAGCTTCCTTTTCATGCAGATGGTGTTTACCATTCAAGTTTTTCATTAAATGGAACTTGAAATGTTGCACGTGTTTTTCAATTGAGCCTACTGATTTAAAGTATGGTTTTGAAATTTTATATTACTATTATGTTTATTCCATTAGGATTTGAAGAATCTGAGAACACAGCTCTACTCAGCTGCTGAGTATTTTGAATTGTCGTACACCAATGATGACCAAAAACAGATGTGAGTTTCTCTAATTCATTAGAACTCTGATAATAATGAACGTGAAGAATCGTATTTTCCTTTTCCTTCTCAATTGTTGTATAATTTGCTTTGTTTTGGCCTCTGTCAAATAATTTACAGAGTGGTGGATACATTGAAAGATTATGCCATTAAAGCCCTCGTGAATACAGTGGATCATTTGGGTTCTGTGACATATAAGGTTAATGATCTATTGGATGAAAAGGTTGATGATGTTTCTGGAACAGAGTTTCGGGTATCTTGTATTGAACAGGTATTCTCGTAATTCCTCATTATTCAGTGACTGATTCAAAGGTTTTTCTTTTGGTTAGAAGAAATATTTTTCGAAGAAATTTATGTCTGAGAGTTGGTGAAAGTCAAAGAATATGGCCACCGTTATACTGCAGATCCTATCTTACACTAATAATGGTCTATACATGATCTAAGGTTATATAGGTCTTTAAAATACATAAAATGTATACATTAAAAAAATCAAAAGGAATGATTCATGTGGTTTCAAGTTAATGCGTTCTCTGGTTAAAATGGTCAGAAAGTGACTTTAGTGGAAGCTTGATTGAAGCACGTCTTGATGATTGGCTGATGCCAGTTTCGGCAAGGAAAAATAACTTCTTTTTTTTTTTTGTTTTGTTTCAAGGACTCATCACTGCAAAAAATACCATAGATTGCTTCTTCTTTCCTTGTGCAAAATCCATGCATTAAATTAGGTTGACCATTGGTGATTAGTTTGATTATATTGACTCTCTTCATTCCTTTTATCTGGTATCTTAGAGACTACGGACATGTCAGGAGTACATTGATCGTGAGGGCCTTTCCCAGCAGTCACTAGTGATGAATTCCCCCAAATACCATAAGCGATACATCTTACCAGGCAATTACACTTAACCCTTTTCTCTTTTCATGAAATTATTATTATTTCACAATTTTTTTTTAATTTAAAAATTTTATTTTCTTGGAATTTGGAGATGAGTATGTTTGAATGTTTTCAATTTTTCATCTGTCACATTCAGTTGGGGAGACCATGCGCGGTGCTAGCCACATGAAAACAAAACATCAAAGTTGCAGTCTAGATGATGAGGATGACTGGCATCAATTTCGGAATGGTACCTTGTTTCTTTTGTCTACTATTCTACCTTAAGAAGCACAAACACTTTTAAGAATGTAATGTGTTGTGTCCAACACCGACACGACACTCGTTAGACACTTCCAATAGTTAGACACACATGAAACACATATAAAACAATAAAAATTTATATCTATCCTTCTCCTTTAGACTTCAAAAATTAATATATTTGATTTAAATATTCATTATATGGCCTACGATAGTTTTATCCTTATATATTACATATAATAAATATATAAAATTATATATTTTGCATGTATCCCTACGTGTTGTGTCTTGTTGACGTGTCAGTGTCATGACCGTGTAAGTACTTCTTAGATTCTACCTCAATTTGTACTGCCTTGTTCTTCCCTGCGTTTATAAGTTCTTATTTCTTTTTTCTCCCCTTCTCTCCAAAGCTGTTCGAGCTACAATTATAGAGACCCCATCATCCTCAGTCAGGTACCGATGTCATAATTTGTTTTCATATCATACTGCTACAGGCACATACTTATAATTGTTAACTGGATCTTGAAAAATGTAACTTGGATGTCATTGCAGAAAAGGGCACTCGCCATCACCTTCTCCACGGCCTTTACGTCGAGCTGGAACCTTCTTGTTCACTGCCAGCATGCCAAAAAAAGAACTAGGTTTGTTCATTTGAACTTGTTGCATCTTGAACTAATATTGGCACTTTAAGTCCTTAGAAAAACTCAACTCATTTTTTTCTTCTTCTTACTAATGAATCAGAGAAGCGAACAGTTTCACCATATCGATTTCCTCTTCTACGTTCCGGATCCTTCTCTAGTCGACCAACAACGCCAAATTCAAGGGCAACCACCCCAAATCTCAGTCGACCAACCACCCCAAATGCTTCTTTTGGAAGACAGCGGGTAAGCATTTGTTTTTGTTTGTTCATTCTCTTCTTAGTAGAGGAAAAATTGAATGTTTAATCTGCAAAGAAAATGACAATCCATCCATCTTTCTACGATATTTATAAATTTATTAGGTTTAAGTTCATATCATGCTTTTTCATAATTCTTGAATGTTGTTTCTCTGTATCAGTATCCTTCAGAGCCTCGAAAATCAGCTTCAATGCGTTTCCATCCTGAAAGTGAAAAGCGAAGCCCTAGAGAGATTGAACAATCCCCCAGCAAAAGTAAACGTCTTCTCAAGGCCTTGCTCAGCAGACGCAAGTCGAAGAAAGATGACGTGCTATATACTTACTTGGATGAATACTGATAAGAAAAGACATGGAAAAAAGAAGGAAACGAACCAGTCATGTACTCTTTCATTAACTTTTTTCATTATTATCCAGCAGTGTTGTATTTTATTATCGTAATATAGTTATTTTTAAGTTGGTTGCTACCATTTGGATTAGGTCCCTTCGAGATGGGCCTCGTTCTTAGTCTCTCTCTCTCTCTCTCTCTTTTTTAATCTCTTGATCACCACAGCAGCGTACGAGGCAGCTGGGTCGGCCTGGGTGGATTCAATTTCTTCCGGCATAAGCCAATTCCTCTTTCTCATGTTTCATCATATGGATTACCTATCTTTCAGTTTCCTCCTGCAACTCCCTTCAGTCTCCTTTAGCTCTAATGGGCGTGGTTCTGTAGTTCTGACCATCTTTCATGCTGTAGGCTTAGCTTATCGACTGGTCTTGTATTAGAACATTTTATCTTACTCATGCCTTTGAGAAGATCATTTTTTGTTTGTTTGAACTTAATTCTAGGAATGATTCGTTTTACAATGATGGTTTGTAAGAGTCGGGTTTAGAGGTTTTTCATTCTCTCCATATATCCATAATCCAAAAATAGTAAAGTATTAGGTTCAGTAAGCAAAATCTTCCAATGAATGCATTCTGAAAATATCGAAGTAAACAATGACTAAAAAAAGTTATGAAATTTAAGGTACAATCCTTTGTGTTAAAACAAAAAGAACAAGAAAAAGAAAAAGAAAAAGAATGGGCAACCAAAAATGATATGAAAAATAATAAATAGAGTTGCATTACAACTAAATAGCTGGAAAAACCAATAATCAGAGTGTATTACAAAGGGCATCAGAGTTCCATTCCTTAACCAAATTCTTCAATTGTTTTTGTGGCGAGCGTAAGAACATCCACAAAAGCACTAAATGATGCGCGAAAAAATCTTGCTTCAACTGCTTCAAAATGCCTGGACAATAGGAGGATGGAAAGGTAAATAAATCATAATGGAAAGAATGGCACAAACTTGTGCACTGTTCACATATTTTTCTTTCGGATAATTTTTTAGAAGAGACTTACACAATTGTACAACTATTTTTTGATAAATAAGGAACTCACACAGAAAGCTTTTCATTAGAAACAGTCATCTGCCTTTTCACTTTGTCTGGCTGCAACTGCAGTTAAATATAAAATTTATTAACATCAGATTGATTGAAGAACAATAATCGAGGAAAGTTGGTCAGAGTTAAAGCATCGTGAGACAACACCTCCTTGTCAACAGCCAATGCTGAGTAAACAATTTGAGCATTTTCCTCAGACTCGTAATCTACTTCAAAATCACTGCCGGAAAAATAAATAAAACTCTCAATCAAACAAACCATACAATGGTCTTTGGATCAAAATTGAAAGAGAAATTGAGAGAATTGAGAGAGTAATATTGAAAGAGGTTTCTGTATTATTAACACTCTGCCTGAAACAAAATTAGAGACTCCATTATATAGGAGTTCTGATACAAGACATCATGATGATGGAATGGAATAAAATAATAAAAAGGACGCCGAAAGGAGGAGGCGCCGAAAGCAGCCGAAAGCCTCTGTCGATTTAATATATTCACACTATCATATATAGTATTAACAATGATATATATATATAGTATTATATGAACAGTATAATATTAACAAAAATCTTCAAAAACAGAAAAAAAAATCTCTCTCCCCTCAAACTGCCAATTCATTGCCCTGCATTATATTCCAGTGGGCACAGCATTCTTCTGCTCTCTTATTCATTCTTAAATCTTCCAACAAAGGAAAAAAAAAAGATTTTTTACAACATTACAAATTACAATGTATATCTCAAATTCTAGATTAGATGTCATGTAAATTATAGAAGGAAAAAAAAAAATTTTGAAACCAGAAGCGTTAAAATGTGCCATATGGTTTGCCATAAAACCAAGAGTGAGAGCTACCCATGGGAGAACCATCTGGAAAATTACACTATTATGACCTCTACTTCAGATATGAAAAAAAGTCCTCTCCAAAATGATAAGGTGCAGATAGTCTCCATGCATATAAAATGGACCCAAATTAAACGAAATGTACTGATACCCCTAAAAACTAAATACAGAGTGGTAGCTCAAGAAATCTCGTGTTCGAGTCTGGTAGCCTGAGAAGTGGTAACGAGTAATTTGGTTGAAGGAGTATATTATGCCTCCAAAACTTGGCCATAGCTCGAGTCTGCCTAACAAAAGCTAATCAAACCAAAAACATTGCTAATCATCAAATAGAAAACCCCGTGTTGACACCGGTGCTTGTTTCCATGACAATTATAAAAAAAAATGTAAGATGCAACCCTAACGCTATGTTTGGTTGAAGAATTTGGGGAGGGATCAGGAAAGAGAAAAGGAAAAGGTGTGTAAAACTAGGTGAAATATAAATATATTTTATTTATATTTCACCTACATTTTCTATTTTCCTTTTCAAATCTCTCCTCAAATCCTCCAACCAAACACAGCATAAGAGATTGTTGTTTTGTTTTATGATGATTCCATGTTGGAATGGAATAGCTATTCCTTAGCTTCCCATGTGAAATATGTATTCTCACTTTTTGTTAGAATGTGCATTCTCGTGGAATAACTATTCTCACTTCACTAAAGCATACCAAAACGAGAGAAAGGAAATATAAAGCTAGAATAGACATTCCATTCTAGCACATTCCATCGTACTAAACGTGCTCTAAATCGTCCAAGACGGAGGTTTGGTGATGTAAAAAATTGCTCTAAAGTTACCAAGGTTTCCGTTGGACTCTAATTTGGGGCAATAAAGTCACTTCCCATCAAGTATATTTATTTATTTATTTATTTAAAAAGCTAGAAATTTCGAACATAATAATATCCCATAGGCTATAGATGAAATTGACTTGGATTGAATTGGTTTCTAGCTTCCAAGATGATTGGTCAGACTCGCAAGATTTTAAAGCCTAGATTGTTCTCGAGATAATGCTGCAAATACTATACACTCATCACACAATTGAAGAGTTCCAGAGCCCTAAAATAAACAAAAAAATTTGAGGACTTAATGGAGTATTAAATTTGTTTTGGGTCTAAATGGGGTATGATATGTTGGGCTTGGACCTTTGGGTCAGTCTCCCAACAAAAAGCTGTTGGAAAAAAGAAAAAAAAAAAGGAAAAAATCAACAGAAACCAAAACTAGCTTACTTGAATAATAATGGTTATACATACTTTTGATTGTACAAGTCTTTAGCTTAGGTAATTGGTTTAAAGCTTTTTAAAAGATCACAAATTTTCACAACTATTTGGGCAGTTCTCTTGGAAATAAAAACAAATTAGAGTTTATATATGCTTCAAATAATCTGTATATATATATATATATATAGAAGAGAGAGAGAGAGAGAGAGAGAGAGTATAACCAGCTGAAGTCCCAGTGGGAAGGAAGAGTTTTGCAATCTATTGAAATGGCAGAAGCACCAGCGTCCATCTTCTCCAACGCCCACCACCAGAATTGAAGACAGACCAAACCAACCACATAAATGTTTCATCACTACTTTATCTTCCAAAATGTTAGGGTTCCGATTCGATCCGGTCTTGGATCCGCCATAGCTGAGAATCAAGATCCTCTGCTTGAGCTCTTCCTTGACTCTCTACTTGTAGGGTCATTGGCTCTACTTTTTAGTCCAATTTTGATGATTAGAGCATTTACATTTTAAGATTTGTTAAATATATTATACTTATAAAATATTATATTAATTAGATATTAGAAAGTATGTATTCGAAAAATTGTTTATTAAATTTTTTTAAAAAAATAGTTTTTAGTTTAATGATCTAAATATGTAATTTTTGATATCTGATCAACTTAATTTTTTACAAGTATAATATAATCAATAAACTTTAAAATATGAACAATTTAAATCATTAAAATTGGATCTAAAAGTAGACCCATTAACCCTACAAGTAAAAAGTCAGGAAGAGAACTCAAGTAGAGTATCTTGATTCTATAGGTGAATCCAAAAGACAATCCAACCCAATCAGTCCAGGTTATGGTTCGGATTGATTCCATCTTAAAATATTACTTACAATTTTATAAAGTTTGAAACCAAATTAAATTATAAAAATTCTAAAATCAAATCAAATCAAATCAAATCAATTCAGATCAAACTGCGCTTAAATGATTATTAAAGTTTAAAAGTTTTAGTTTGAAACATGTCATCATTCATAATATAATCACAAAATATTAATTATTCAATAATGATTGTGAAAGTTAAAGAGTTATAATTTGTGTATATATATATATATATATTTCAATGATTTGATTCATTTCTAAATTGAATTTGTAACTATAAAATCACCGAATCAAATCATAAGGTATGATTCATGTATTTTAAAAATAACGACCGAACTATGCATTGATCAAATCAAATTAAATCATGCAATTTAACCAAAATCAATATAGCGATTCCGGTTTTGACTCGATTTTTATTGTATTAGGGACTCGGATCTTGTGGTTTAATGTTGTTATTTATGTCTTTTCCTCCTTTTCCTTTTTGAATTTGAGTTTTGGAATGTCTCGGGCGTGTTTAGAACATGTTGGTTGCCGGTTCATCTAGTATGTTGTTGCCCATAATTTTGGTCTTCTGCTCAAGCGGGCCTTTTTGTGCTCGAGCGGGGTTTGCAAACAGTCAGTACTTTGCACGTCTACTAAAAATACTGGAGGAGTGTTTTTTACGCTCGAGCGGCGTTTCTTACGCTCGAGCGGGTGGGTGTTCGAGCGTACATTCTTGCATTTGAGCAGTTTGTCCGTTGTCTGCAAAAGTACTAGAGGTGTGTATTCTGCGCTCGAGCGGGCCTCTTCTTGCGCTTGAGCGGAACAAAACTTTGTGTCTAACGCTCGAGTGTAGACTCTTCCGCTCGAACGGACTGTGCGTATATCAGATCGCGAAAGTGACATTTTATATCACTTTTTTGCCCTTCTCTCTCTAAAACATTCCAAAAACCTAAATCCACACACTCTCTCTCTAAAATACACACTTTCTCTCTACATTTTGACCTAAATCTAGTATTTTCTTCACCCTACTCCCTTTGAGAAAAAGGTAGAGCATCCTATGAGCTTCCTTTCGATAAGAGTAAAGTCAAGTTTGGGTGTCTTTGAAGTTTCTTCACTTCTCCTTTGAGTTTCTAATATACTTGAGGTAGGGATATTCTACACCTTAATATGGGTTTTAACCTAATTATTTGTTGTTATGTATAATGGTGGGATTTGGGTGTGTTTTGAGAAAACCTAGGGTTTGAGTTCAAGCTTAAGAGAGGGATTCCTATGTAGTGTTATATAATTGACCATGAGGTTTGGGTATGAGGTTATATTGTGTTAAAAATTGTTGGTTTTGACCTTTGGGCAACTTTTGGAAAAATGGGGGATTTTGCCCTAAATATGTTGGAATAATTATTTTGTATAAATAATGAAATTGGTATGGAAATTGGGGGGGAAGTATAGATGAATGGTGTAGTTGGATTTGTTTAATCACTCACCCACGAAAATGTGATGAATTATCTGTTACGAAGATAGAGTATATGTCTAGAAATATTTGTATTGGGCTATCGGTGGAGGATAGCTATGATTGTTGTAGAAATTGCATGAGAATTAGGTAAATTGAAACTAATCATTTAATTGAGTCATTGAATATGACGATATGTTAAGGTATTGAATGTGCATGATTGATAGTCATTGAATGTGACGATACTTTTAAATACATTGTCTATGTATGACATTTTGGGAGAAGAAAGGGGATGTACTCCATTATTTGGAAGGAGATAGGGGATGAACTCCATTAAAAATTAAGTTGGCCGGAGTGTCCAGGGTGAAAGTCCCAAAACCTTATGTATACATGGGTGCCGATCCCGCGGACGAAATATCCATAAAATGGCAAGGTTGAAATGCTTGAATGATGATTATGTTGATTGAGAACCACTAAGTTGTAGTCTCGGTTGGGTTATTTGAAAAATTACACACTTGGCATATGATTTGAATAAAATGAAATAACTTGAAATGAATAAATGGAAATGGATTTAGATGTGAGTATTAGCACTGTATGGTCATGGGAAGAACGTAAGTTGGTAATAAATGTTGAATGTTTATCTGACACTTATATCTTAGTCAAATCTCATATATTGTGTTAGACTATCTCTACTGGGCTTTGACTCACCCTACTTGAGAAACTACTTTCAGGTACTGGTAACATGCTTCCTCCAAGGACATAGCTTGGGAGGACTTAGTAGCTGGAGGCTCCATTTTGTTGTTTAAATGTTTAGATACTTATTCAAGCCTAGGGCTTATTATATGTACAAAGTTGATAACTCTCTTTTGTTGTAACCAAGTTATATCTTGGAAAGATGTAAACCTGTAGGGCATTTGTTTTGTTGTCATTAATTGATGTTACATGCTATAGATTTAGGATATATATTTATGAATGTATATCGCATGTATTTTCTTTTATAATACAAACTCTGATGAATGGAAGTACATTGATTCTATTATGTTCATTTCTCTTATTTGTTGGGTTATTGGTATTATCCTTTTGAGGGCGTTACAACTTGGTATCAAAGCGTACCGGGTTTAAATACTTTGGGTACGTGGGAAGTGATTAGTACCACAAGGGGCTTGTCTTGCTTGTTAGAGACTTAAGTATGGATAATACATGCTTATGTGATTATTTGGGTATGGGATTGAATTTCTAGGATGTCGATTGGATCTGGAGGTTTTTAGGAGTCCTATTAGAAAGGTACTCGATCACTGTTGTTTTTAATTGGAACTCAAGCAACATCGCAGGACTGTTGTTATCCAGAGATAAAATGTGTATGTGTTTATGTGCTTATATAGAGTGATTTACTGTTGTCCATCGCATTAGAACGTGAGTGGATTAGCTTTGGCACATTTGTAAATGTGCTAATCTCTTTGTTACCTTTATTAGGATGTCAGGACGTGGTCGCGGTGGTAAGTGTGGTAGGCCTAGGAGGCACGAGATGCCTATACTGGATGAGATTCCGGCATAGGAGGAGGGAGTTGGTCAGGACAATGTGGCCGAACCGGTTGGTCAGCAAGCCATAGGCGCTTTAACCCGTGAGATAGCCAGAGCATGGAGGGAATCCATGGACATTCTCAGAGTTGAGAATCAAGTCCAGGCCCAGGTAGCTGAAGTAGGGCCGTCTTTTCTGAAGAGGGAGTTCTTTTGGTCGAATCTGGACGAGTTTTTGGGAGGTCCTAAGGAGACACTAAAGGTTGACGAGTGGTTAGAACAGATGGTGAAGACGTTTGAGATGCTCAACATTGAAGATGAGGCTTTGAGAATGACCTTGGCGTCCTTCTAGCTGAAGAGAGATGCGGGACAGTGGTGGAAGTATGCGTGAGGGCGCATTGGAGGAACTTGGGAGGCTTTTGTCGACACCTTCCAGGACAAGTATCTACCTGCTACAGTGAGGGAGAATTTGAGGGATCAATTCTTCAAGTTGGTGCAATTGAACACACCAGTAGCCGAGTTTGAGGCCACATTCACCAATTTATCGAGGTTTGCACCAGAGTTAGTGACGATTGAGGAGCACTGTTGTCTAGAGTTCGAGAAGCGGTTAAGGACATGGCTCATGTTTAGAGTGGTTGGATCCATGATCAGGGACTATAGGCACCTTGTGGAGGTTGTAGCCCATCTTGAGACTATCATGCATGCAGAGGAGGAGAGAATGAGGGGCTCTAGGAGGAGTCAGGAGAATCAGGGGGACAATAAGAGGCAAAAGGGTTCTAACTCCCAGTCGTCCCAGGGAGCTCAGTCGAGGTCCACTTTTCTTGTACCGAGTTAAGGTTCTAAGAGAGGTGGTCAAGGTGATGTGACTTGTTTCAAATGTGGTCAGTTGGGCCACAAGTCTCTAGTTTTCCTGCAAAGAGGAGGAGGGCAGCGAGCAGCATCGTCTTCGGCTCATTCTCAGAGCCAAGGTCAATGGAGAGGCTAGCCGCTCACTTGTTATCAGTGTGGGCAGGCGGGGCACTTGAAGAGGTTTTGCCCACAATTGGGTGGCACATCTGGTGCATCTGGTTCGAGAAAAACATAGAGTCACCAGCCTACACAGTCAGCATAGGCTTCAAGGGCCACTTAGGAAGCCTCTTCGGCTCAGTCCGTGTATCAGACTTATGCTCTGAGGGGTGAGTAGATTGAGTAGAGACCTACGGGGCGCGTGTATGCTGTTACAGCGCCGGATCTTGTACCTGCTCCTTTAGTAGTGAGAGGTACCTTCTTATTTTGCAATTTAGTTGCTAATGTGTTGATTGATACGGGTGCATTCCATTCTTTCATTTCGTCTGCATTTGCATCAGTTTTGGGTTTGGAGTTGGCACAGTTAGCATCTCTTATTTGTGTAGAGTCACCTATTGGTGGTGAAGTTATTCTGAAACAGGGGTGTCGGGGTTGTGACATCAAGGTTGCCGGTCGTCGACTTCCATTTGCATTTGTATTGATTAACATGTCTAGTTTTAATGTTATTTTGGATATGGACTGATCATCGTCATACTGGGCTATTACAGATTGCTACCACTAGAGGGTTATTGTATGTACCTTGAGCGAAGATTGCTTTTATTTCTTGGGAGAC